AGCTTCACGGCCATTTCTTCAGTGTCTTGGATAAGCGCCGTACCCACGACTCCATCATGGCGGCTACAAACCTTCCTGCATCTTTCCTTGGGCCAATACTTGATCGAACTTGGACCCCCGGTCTGCATTTAGCAGGGGTCACCAGAGCTTCTCGTCCAATGAAGGTAGCTCAGACATCATCAGCTCCCGCATGTACTATGGAGCACGGAGATTTAGCATTCTGCAGAAGAGAGGTGCCCAATAGAATGGATCGAGGTCCTGAGCGCTGATGCATGAGCTCTGAGACTAATAATAATTGAGGTAAGTTATTTCTTCAGCGAATGTCTTCCCATCCAATTTGCTCTCTTTCATCGGATGACTTCCTCGCCTCACTATTGTTGTGATTATATTCCTTCTCCTCCCAATCCGCCCTCTCTCATTCAATTTACGCATCTCAACTACTAATTCGACCCCGAAAACATACTCGGGCTTTTCTTAAATCAGGATTGGAAAGCATAGTTCCGACGTCTGATTAACACAAGCTCACGTTGTCGCTTTGAAGTACCGCTATTGTCTTTGTCTTATTGACTGATATCCCCCCCCATTCACTCTCCTGAATGCTTTGTTGATAGGGATAATACATTGTCAGTGTGTCCCTTTGTCTATTGTATGAAATACCCGGCTTGAATGGACCATTAAACCCGGTACCACGCCCTTATGTCCGTGACATTTTCTACTGGTCCGTAGAGAAGTGGTTTGTTCTAGTTGATATACACATCTAACTCAGGTATGTTACCCTGTGATCACACCAATACCTCAGTTCTAGGTATTCTATAAGCCGGCTTCCATTGACAACGCACAGGACGATGGGTTGGAAGCGCCAGAAGCCGCAAGCTGAGCTGCGGATTCCCGCAATCCCGACCTTTCCCTTGTCGTCCCCAATCACAGAAGAGGTTGTTACACCGATCTCTTCGTCCCCAGATGAGCGAGACGTGGAAAAGCTTCATTCTTTCGATCATCTGGGGGCAAAAGTGTCCAGCCAGAACCCATTTGCTCGCAAAGTAGAATACGAACAACGGCAGGAGGGCAAGGAGCCGGTGCGTGAAGCCAATAGTTACTACTTCGTGCAAAAAGCGGCAGAGAGTGCGGGCGATCCGAAGCCAGCAGTCAAGAAGAATCCTGAGCGGCCCGTGGGATTGAATCTGGTCACCGATTTTTCGCTAGCAGCACCGAAACCCCGGAATGATATACCGGTGGAAGGGCTCGTGGATCCAAATGATCTCAAGGTCCTTCCAAAGGAAAGGGCCGAAGAAAGGTCGATGCAGAAGGTCAAGGGCATTCTGAAGAAAGGAACGATTCAAAGATCCCAGAGACTTCCCGACGAGCCCTCAGACCCAGTCAAGAGGAGATCTTCCTTGTTTGACTGGAGGCCTAGTGGCTCACCAAAGCGGAGAGGCAAGGACGACTTATCTCCATCAGACCGGCCGATAATGATTGGGTTCAGCATGCCACGCGAGGAACCCACCGTTTCGCGGAAAAGATATTCTAAAGAGCTTGACATTGCAGATACCCAGCAGACGCCGCTCACGCCCTCCATAGTTGTCACCCCGGCAAAGGAGGATGACTTTTGGGCAGGCTTTAGCCAAGTTTGCAACCCTCCTAGAGTCGCATCTAGCATTTACTCCCAACCCACTCCATGTATAGAAAAGAGCGAGTTAGATATCCCCCCTGTACCCGCCATTCCAGCAGAGCATGTATCGGCTAAGAGTGAAGTTACGAACCAAGAGACTCTCAAAAGGCAATCTGTGGCATCTAGGAAACAACGTTCATATTCCACGGGTACGGTCTTCGAGGAAGACATCCAACCGCGGCCGGGGCTTCGTTCAAGGTCATGCTCCAACGGAAGTGTTAAGAAAGCGTTTGATCGTTTGAGTGCCATCGACAGAATGAGTCGATTGAGTGTTAATACCGAAGCTAATAGGCACCAGTCCCAAGGATGGTGGACATACCTTCTGTCTCCTTTATTGGGTCGTTCCAGCACAATCACTAGTCGAAGAACACTAATCGACGTACATCCACCTCCTGTTCCCAGTATTGCCACCGATTTGACAGGATCAAGTGATGAGTGGTGGGAGAAGGAGGTATCGTACTTTTCACCTGATACACCGGAAGAGACGATGGCCAGTCGAGGTATTTCCAACTGGCAGCCTTCTCAAAACAACCCTTTCGCCGATGAGAAAGCTGTCGACTGGCACACCCAGGAGTCAACTGGCCTGAGTAGCGCAGCGTTTGTCGTTCCCGACCAAACGGTTCAGGGCGCCGCTGCCGAGTACTATCATGCTTGTGCACATGAGCTGTTTACCGGGAGGCCTTATTTCGAATGCATCAACCATGTCTGTTCGATAACTCCAAAAGACCAAATTCCAGTCCCCGGTGCAGATACCGCAAAAGACAGTGGTTCGGGTCAAAGAGGTGTGCTTATTGATGTGGATGAAGCGCCGAAACCCGTTGACAAAGAACCTGAAGGTTCAAAATCTATAGTCATTCCTGCCACAACTTCCCTGCCTCCTCCAACGGTCGTCGACAAACAACCAAATACCCCCGTGGAGAACCTAAAGGAAGACAGCGGTTCAAAAGGCGATACGAGAGCCCCTCCTGGGGAGGATTCTACGAAACCAATTCCCGAAGAGACTATCAGAGAACCAGCACCTCCAGCAGGCAATCAAGCTGAGACTAATCCTTTCGTTCAGCCAGCTCAGCAAAGTAGCGCCGTTCCGCCGCCAATCACGAATGTATACATTCAGTATACCCCTGCACCGTCTTCTGCTCCCGTCACTACTATTGAACGTGCTGTACCTCAGTACATAGTAGTTCCTTCCTCAAACGAAGGGATTCCAAAGCATGAATTGCAGTCACAAGCACAACCGCAATCTCCTGGTCCTGTCTCCCCTGGCTTCCAGCGAGCAACGGCAAAGACAGGCTCAATCCCTCTATCTGACATACACTCTACCCCGGCGCCTGTGTATACGTCTCATCGTAACACTCCCACCACATTACCACCCCGTGCGGATCCTCTTCCGATCACGCCGGGGGCAATGACGAATCCAGTTACAGAAAGTAATAGAATTGAGTATCGACGAAGAAGGCTCGAGAAGGAAGATGCGGTCGGTAGGAAAGCTGGTGGGCTATGGCGCGGTAGGGGTTGTTTCAGCAACAAGGGATGTTTTGGGAGACCTGGGCGTGAAGGACGACTGAGGCGCCGGTGGTATGCGGCCATTGCTTCATTCTTCATTATCATTGTGGTGGTCGCCGTTACCCTCGCTGTAATGCTCACCAGAAGGGGGGACGAGACACCTGTCCAGTCGCAATGGCTGAGTTTAACCGGCTATCCACCTATGCCTACAGGCATTGCAACCGTTGCTGGGCCCGAGCCACAAGTGCAAAATTCGGGCTGTATTACGCCGTCGACCCTCTGGAGCTGCGCCTTGCCCAATGAACAGCAGTCAGCCAACAAGCCTTATGCTGCAAACCAACCTAATTTTCGCGTCGAGATTCGTTTTCGCAATGGGACATATCCGAATAGCACGACTGTTGCGTCGAAGTCTAGCAAGGCAAAAGCTTCTAGAAGATCTGATACCCTGTTCAGCCCATCGCCATCCCCGCCAGACATGAAAGACCAGGCGTTCCTGGGCAATACCACTGATAAGAACAGCGTTCCCTATGCGGGCGAAGAGACGCCCTTCTACATGACAATACTCTCCCCTCTCCAGATGTCCACCTCCCAACTGTCACGAAGATCAGACAATTCGTTCCCTGACATAGAATCTCTCATCCCATCTCCAGACCTAAATTCCGACGGCACCGCTGCAGCCGCCGAGCTCTATCCTCTTCCTGAGTCACAACCCGTGCGACTATACAATCGCGGGCAAGACAACGAGCACTACGGCTTCTATACCTATTTCGACCGGTCTATTTTCCTTGAATCATCTGCTCCACTCACGGACAGCAAGAACGATGATTTTACAAGCGATGCCAACGGTGGCCCAAGTAAAGCACATGCCCGAGTCAGGTGTACCTGGGCTCAGACCCGCTTTCTCGTCCAGATCTGGACTCGTCCCGGAAAGACCCTTCTCAGTAACAGTTCATCTGCCAGCACAACCCCAACACCCACCCACACAGGAACTAGCAATCCAACTGGTTCTAACTCCGCTACTGACTTCGTTCGTCCCGGTTCCTTCCCGTATCCGATAACGATAACTCTAGATCGGCATGGAGGCGCGATCAAGAAGAAGATGGTGTACTGCTACGGTATGGAATCAGATCAGCGTGTCAATTCGACCGAGGCGAAATTACAAGTGGAAGACCGCGGGTTTGGCGGTCAATTAGTCAACCCGGCACCTGGAATCTTTAACATGTCTGATTCTGTTTTGAGTGGGTCGGGTTATGGTGGTTTTGACGGTGGAACTGGGGGCTGTTCTTGTCAGTGGACGAACTGGATTTCTAGGTCGTAGGCTGGTAAGATGGGGTATTGTCAGCTGTCTTCTCTGTCGCTCATTCTTGCTCTATTTTCTTCGCACTGAGCATTTCCAGCATTCTCTGTTCATGAAAATCATTTGTAATCTCTGCCAAATACCGTTTTTAACTACCTGAGGCAGTCACACTATATAGACAAAACAAAAGTCACATTGCATACACATCTGAAACCGCAAGATCATTTGGTTGACCAGAAGCCCTGAAATTGTCAGGTCAGCGATTGCAGGTAATAGATCACTCGATCAACTGCACAGTGGTCTATCATATGGCCATTGAAATAGGGTCCACAGGAGGCAATCCGACTGGTCAAGCCGATCCAATTAATGTGATGTATCGGATGCCAATCAAACAAGCCACGATCAAGTTTCCCTTCATTCCAGCCACTTATTACTAACACAAGATGACCGGAGATGCAGCGTGACCTGAATCCCTTACTTAAGATAAGACAGCTGAGCTGAATTTCTTTTTCCGAAGAGAAAAAGCAATTCAAGATGGACCCTTATAAAATGCAAGCGTCTCTACCGAGTAGAGCTTGAAGGGGACAAGAAAATGTCATAGATTCACAATGGCAACAAGCAGCCTCGCAGACCACCAACCGTGGTATCAACGCATCCAATGGTTCAATTTCTCCATGCTGGTTCTCATCCCGCTATGGGCTTTTATCCAGTCACTTTGGGTTCCTTTGATCTTGAAAACTCTGGTCCTGTCAGCGGTGTACTACATATTGTCGCTGGGCTCTATAACTGCCGGTACACCACTCTCTACCCTGGAGCATTGAAAAGGTCAAAAGAGAAACTAACAACACCACAGGATACCATCGCCTATGGGCGCACAGATCCTACACAGCATCGACCCCCCTGAAATGGCTGCTCGCTGCGTTCGGCGCCGGGAGTCTCCAAGGCTCCATCCGGTTCTGGGTGCGCGAGCATCGCCTCCACCACCGATACACAGACACCGATCTAGATCCGTACACTGTGAACAAGGGCCTCCTCCACGCGCACATCCTATGGGTTCTCCTCCGTCAGCCACGGAATGAAAAGAATAAGCGAGCCCGCATCAACCTCTCCGATATCGACCACGATCCCGTCGTCGTCTGGCAACATAAGTACTACTTCCTCGCTGCCTTCGGCATGGGCTGGCTGCTCCCTTGTCTGGTAGCCGGACTGGGGTGGAACGATTGGACGGGTGGGTTTCTCTACGCTGGCGTGCTGCGAGCTTTCTTTGTCAATCAGGCTACGTTCTGTGTGAATTCTCTGGCGCATTATCTGGGCCATCAGCCGTATGATGATCGACATACGCCGCGCGACCATCTGCTCACGGCGCTGATTACCCTCGGCGAGGGGTTTCATAACTTCCATCATGAGTTTCCGTCGGACTATCGGAATGGCATCGAGTGGCACCAGGTTGATGTGACGAAGTGGTTTATCTGGGCGTGTGGCTTTGTCGGGTTAGCGGGTGACCTGAAGCGGTTTCGGTATGATGAGATCGCCAAGGCACGGCTGCAACAGAGGTTCAAGCGGCTCGATGAGGAGAAACAACGTCTAAACTGGGGGACGCCGCTGGAGGAGCTTCCTGTCATTGATTGGACGGAGTATCAGCGGAGAGTGGAGATGGGACAGGTGCTTGTCGTTGTGGAGGGCGTCGTGCATGATCTTGGGGCGTTCCTAGCTGAGCATCCTGGGGGGGAGACTGCTCTTAAGGGTATGCTGGGGAAGGATGCTACGGCGCTGTTTAACGGCGGCGTCTACGACCATTCTCGCGTGGCTAGGAACCTGCTGGCTACTATGCGGATTGCGGTGCTGAGGGGTGGTGGGGAGGTGGAGTGTTGGAAGTAGATGGGGTATTGCTGCGTTAGATATGGCTGATAGAGATTGTAGTACCTTTTGTTCTCTTATTCTATCATGCTTCATAGAAATCCTTCGCACATACGCGGAGTAGACACTTCTCATCTTGCAAGTTGTATAGTCAGTCACAAGACAACCACATATTGTAAAGAACTCTCTGTCCAAGCAAGCCCACGCTCTCCACTACCCTTTCCACACAAATCATATGAAAAATAAAAAAAAAATAAAAAATAAACAGTCAAGACCCACTGGTCTCCATGGATGCAACCTCCAGTAGGCAGAATCGTTTTATTCCCCAGAAACCTTCTATACCCAATCGGGGTGTCGGGGACGAAAATACGAAGTCCAAAGTCAAGTATAAGAATCGACTCAAGTCTCGACTCGAAATGCCCAACGTCAGACCACAATAATCCAATCCCTTCCTCCAAACCAAACTAAACCAAACCTCCTTACCAATAATAAGAAAAGCAAGAAAGAAAACAAAAACAAAAACAAAAACAAAAGAAAATGACCACCCTAACCCCCCAAGAAGCCTCCCTCCTCGAAACCGCCACAAAAACAATAACCAGCATCAAACCCTCCAACACGCACAGCGTCGCCAGCGCCGTCCTCGCCTCCGACGGCCGCGTCTTCTCCGCCGTAAACGTCTACCACTTTACCGGCGGCCCTTGTGCCGAACTCGTCGCCCTGGGGAATGCTGCCGCGGCCGGGGCCGAGGAGCTCACCCATATCGTGGCCGTCGAGGATACCCGGCGTATCTTGAGTCCCTGTGGACGGTGTCGGCAGGTTTTGTTGGACTTGTGGCCTGGCATTAGGGTTATTGTTTTGGGGGAAGAGGGGCCCAGGGTTGTTGGCATTGCGGAGTTGTTGCCTTTTGCTTATTCGTGGCCTGGGGAGGAGTAGGTTTTTTTTTCATTTTTTTTTTCTTCTTATCTACTCTTCTTTATGCAGGTTTTATTGCTTTCTGTGGGTTGAGCGGTGGGTTAGAATGCATGTTGTAGTGTTTGGTTACATCTGTTTGTTTCTGTCTCTGTTGAAATTGCGTTTCAGGCTACGCTTGACATGTGGAAGGAGAGTTATTGTGAATGCCAATCTATTATTATTATTATAAGATTAAGTAAACGATCTAAAACGCCAAACCCAAACGCCCTAGTAAAGTTTCCCCATATTCTTTTTTGGAAAAGAGGGTGGAGGATTTCAAGCCTTTAACCTTGAAAAACCGGAAGGTGGAAGTAGTATATGTCAAGGAGAAAAATCATAAAATGGTCCCGCTTCGTTAATATCTCTGCAATACCATCTTGTATATGATACTGCTTCGGAGCGGAAATCACCATTGTCGAAAGAAATGCCGCTTATACCATCAGCATCAGGCCAATGGCAATGCTGGCAACAGCTGTGAGACCAGGAATGAGGAGCTTGGAGCCGGGGCTGGTGGGAGCGAAGCCAGTGGATGTTGGCTTGGCAGGAGCGCCACCGCCGCCAACAAAGCCTCCACCGCCGGTGGTCTGGCTGGAAGAAGTAGAGGTCTTCGGGATGGTCGAGTTGGCGAACTTAGGGAAGCCTGAGCTTGCGGAGGGCTTCGGGGTCACGGCAGGAGCGGTAGCGTTAGCACCTGGAACAGTTGGCTGGACAGCGGGGACACTGGGCTGGGCCGCAGGGGCGGTAGTCTTGATAAGAGGGGCGCTGGACTGAGCAGGGATGCCAGGAATACTGGAACCACCAGCGGTAGGCTGAATGGCGGGAACATGGGTCTCAGCAGCGGCAGTAGACTCAGCAGGCGCCGCTGGAGCAGCAGACCCAGCCGGAGCAGCAGGAGCAGCAGACCCAGCCGGAGCAGCGGGGGCAGCAGACTCGGCAGGAGCAGCGGGGGCAGCAGACTCGGCAGGAGCAGCGG